GAAGGCATGCCAGCCGCGCAGTAGCTGACGACGTTAACTACCTTGCTGACTGGGCTTCTTTTATGTTTGTGGCCAACTTACCTTTTTGTATTCTAGCATGGGGGAAAAAACTAATTTGCACGCGCTGCAATCCACAGCTTTCAACACGAAAAACTGATCCTTAGTATCGTTATCATTATCATCACTATCATTATCGCTGGCATCTTCGTCAGCTGGTGTAATAATTTCAGCGTCAAGTCATTTACACCACTCCAAGTGCGCTGCCGAAAAATGTCAGGAGCAAAGGAAAAGTGGCATGAAAAAAAACTGAAGAAACATTTCACTATATTTATGCAGCGAGCGAAATTGTGGAGTCTGCAAAGTGGTAACAGCAAAAAAATTGCTGAATACTTTCAATACCACTCACATACTTTTTGGAGTATTTAACTTTATGAAAATAGTTTTCTTCTTACCTTTATTTTATTCGTGTCTTTGTGCGTGCCCCACCCACGCCAACGAACCGAACGTGCAGCCCAACCCACCGAATCCAGATACATATGTATGTGCATATGTCTCTATGTATGTATGTACGTCTGAAATGCTGCTGAAGCGCAATCAACTGTCCGTGCAGCCGCACTCACCCACTCATCCGAATGCACTTGTACTACTTTATATGTGCTGTTCATATTGAAAGCGAGTAGACAATAAAACAAACAGACAATAAAATAGGCACGCAAAAAATAGGTACATTAGACTGCATCACCAAAAAAAGTTGCAGGTTTTCCACCGGGATTACAAAAGTTATTATATTTTAAGACGTTTTTTTTTCAAATACCAACACATCTTAATTCAACTTTGAATGATGTTCGTTCATCCCACCTCTCCCTGTCATCTTTTGAATGAGCTTATTAGCAGAGAAATAAAAAGGGTGAGAAAACACCTTTCCAATGATACCTCACAAGTCTAAATCGGAAGAGTTTAGGTTCAGTTATTCAAGTTTTTCTTATACCAATTTTTGAAAATAAAATAAAAAACAGCACCAAAAAAAACCTCATTATTACGATTCCGTTCAAAATTTGTTTATTTCTTTTTTAAATATTTCTATGTAAATTTTTTAAGCTTATATCGTTTTGTCATTTGAGGGGATTTTTTTCAAAAAACATCTTTAAGAAACTACTTTTATTGATAAAAAAAAACTCCGTGTTTGGAGGTATTTTCAAATCGGTCGAGCTCGCTTAAATCTTAGTATTTTTCCGAAATATTTTGGTGGACTTCTTAGAATGTAATAGATTTTATAATTCCAATGGAAAAACAGTACAAATTTTTTTTTTTTTGTATGGGGAGTGATGTAGTCTAATGTACATATGTACATTTGTAGTTGGAAGGGAGTAAGCACCTATGTATAGCCAACTTTCCGTTTGCATTCGTGTGAAAAATTATAGGTATTTTTCAGCATTCTCCCCATTTTACATAATTTTTGTCTGCCTCATTTAAATTCACTTGCCGATAGTCGATTGTGAGGAGCATATTTTGAGGCACTTATGTACCATAGGTATCTATCGTTGGGCACAAGCCTTTTTATGTATATAGATACTTGTGTGGCATTGACAGTGCCGAGAGATATTGCTAAGCTAGCTGTGCATTGTACTCCTTAAATTCAGCTGTTACCTAGCTTCATTTCGTTTCGTTTTGCAAGTTGTCAAAGCAGATGTTCAGCCTTGCACATCGATGCTTGCCACCAGAATGAAAGCTTCCTTTCGCAGTGACGCTTTGTTGGAATTTTCCTCGTCATTAGGTTTTTGCAGTACTTTATTTTTTTTATGAAGATTTCTCATTTCATTTTTGCTCTTTGTTATGCATAAATATGAGTATACCATAAGTTTTAAAGGACTTTTTTTTGGATTTTGAAACTTTATGGTACAAAATTGGTACACTGTATTTTATTGAAAGTATTGCCAATCGCTAGCTATGACTTTTTCCCACTCTTCTGGCAATGCATGAATCGCGCGCCAATAAAACTACTCGCCTATGAAAAACTTCAACTGGAGTAAGGCTTAGTCCCGTAAGAGCGTTCTACATCGACCGGAACAAATGGTAGACTGTTGCTACAAGGTCTGGGCTATAAGGCGGATAGGTTAAGACTTCCTTTCCAGTATCATCGAGCGGTGTAATGGTGGAAGATTTATGATTCATGTCTGGCTACTCATTCCGGCCGTTTTTCCGCAATCGCTGTCTGTAGAGCAGTGTTGCCGTTTGGATATACAGGTATCCAATTGGATACATTTTCGCCTAAAATTTTGAGGGATACTTCGTTTTTTTCCTCAGTGTAAATTTGGATACCTTTTTCCATAAATATTCGTAAGTTGAAGGATTTTTTTTATTTATGTACGAGCTATTATAACATTATTACCAGTTGGCTGCTCATCATCTAAGCAAGGAGTTTTCCTACATTCTTGTCATTTTGAAAATTTAATTTTTTAACTACATAAACGTGTATTAAATAACACCAAAAAGTTTGCAAATTTTAAAAAGTTTTCCGATCTGTAGTAGTATACTGTAATGACAACCATGCCGATGACTAATTTTCAACAATAACTTGACTGTACTAAAAATAACTTATAACTTCTAAATTTTCAGTTATATGTCGTTAAGCGAGAATTCAAACAAGCCGGAATAGAAATTTTTCTTGAAGGTGCAATTTACAGATAAATACAAGTTTTTGAAAATTTTTTAATTTCATAGATAGCTTCCAACCCACCAGTTTGATTGAGAAACGTTGTAACCATAATAGCTGGAAATAAAAATTTACTGAATTAAATGTAACAAGCCCAAATTTGTTTAAATTAGTATTATTTTGATAGGCTAAGAAAAATTTTTTGCATGTATTATTTGTGGAAAGCTAATCGTAGTAATAAACATGGATCATGCGGAAACTTTGGGCCGTAGTGGTAGTCAGTATTTTTCCATTCTTAGACACAGATTATAGTCAAAATTAAGTCGATCTAAAGTTAGTTGCAGCTTTTTTGGCAGGTATCCCATTCAAAATTATGTCAAAAAGCGGCAATTATCGACTTCAGGAGCTTTGTTGTTTTAACCAAAATGATTGCCTTGGACAATTCGTGGAATGTAATCTTAGTTCCTATATATTGGTCTCGGTTCTTCTTCGTCAAACGCATGTCTAGCAGTTCAAAATAATTTCTCGACGTCTGTTACCACATTTCCATTTTTGAAAGAACCAGCCTCGGTCTTAAAAGCATTTCAATGCCGCATTCCTGAATGCCAGAATCGCGAACATTTCGCACTCACACCTTCGCTTTCTCTTCCTTTGAGACGTATTTCTCTCCAGCTGTGTACTTATTTATATCCGGACGATGAGAAGTGGCTTATTTAAGCAATACTGAGAGTCGGATGCGAAAGTTCTCAGCTGTCTGTTTCGATTGCAGCTTTTCGGCGTATTGTGGAATGATTTTCCGTCATCCCTTGTAAAATTAATTTGGTTTGGAGACTACCCGGTTTCAGCGTTGTGTTATCTTCGGTGTCCTTTTTCGCAGAGAAGTCCATTGTCCAGTCGGCAAAATCACGATGAGACTAGACTGTAAATGTATTCACTTTAACAAGGCATCCAGTTTACATCCAACGGTAGTGTTAAAAAGCCACTTTTAAAAGAGGTATTCCACTTTTTTTTAGCAAAGAAATATTACACACTTCTCCCATACTCCCTCAAACCAATCGATTTCTTTTATTTATTTTTTTGATGCATTTTATTTGATGGGCGGACCGCTTTAAAGGATTCTTTCATTCCTACTCGAAAGCAGAATCAAAACTGGAAGGCATTTTTCACATAAATTTTAAATTTTGCAAAAAGTTCCGAGGGTTTTGGGAAACCAAAATTATAAAAAAAACTATTCGTAAATCATTTCGATCTTTAATACGTCCGCTCCATTTTCCCTAAATTGCATTTCAATGATTCGTAGCCGCAGTTTTTTGACCTCGAACTCGAACTCGAACGACTACAAAATTCAACTTGTCTATTTTTTCAATTGTTTTCAATTCTCTTATTATTTAATTGTCAATCGACACTTAACCTACGATCTTCTCAGCTTGCGATCGGTTAAATTAACCAATTGACCCAAGGTATTAACTGAGCAGCAGCCTAAACCAAAGTAGGCGATGAGTAAGCGATGTTTCAACGTAATATGAAACCAGAAATAGAGAGACAGATTATTAAATAATAAGTAAAAATAAAAGTAAACACTCATTCTTTTAACTAAGTAAGTTAAATAATAAAACCAGTTTTAAGGCAAAAAATTTTAACGGACATTTCAAATACATAAACCCTCTCTACTTGTGCAGCGCTGATCAGCTGCTTATCTGGTTGGTTGGCTCTGCTTTGGGTATACATACATTTGCCGCTAGTGCATGTTGCGCGAGGGGGCAACGAAAGTGCTCCGATGAGCATGGAAGAGTATGGAAAAAGCACTACCTAGAATGTTGAAAGTATGAGAATGTTGGAGCACTTGGTTGCTCAATAATACATGACGCTCCACAGTGCATTTTAGATGACAGTTGTGCTCTGTGTAGAACTACATACATACATGTATGTGTACGATTATGTATTGACTTATTGAAGCGTTAATTTGTTGGTTTTCAGTTATGTAGGTAACAGCTCAGACGCCTAGGTACTTATCTCAAAACTAACAAGTCGATGTCTCATATATACATATGTATGTATGTATGTACATACCTAGTTAGAACGAAGAGCGCACATGAGTAGAACAGAGTGTCAGTGAGTAGGGTAAATAGGGCCAAATAACCGACTGTTTATTTTGTTTGGAAAACCGGCTACAAGTGTACTCTCCATGCGATTGCCATGAATGAGAGCGGGCGTGAAGGGACGCTACTTTCTGTAAAAAAAAAAACAATATTGAGTATAAAAAATATACGGCAAATAATAAAAAAAAAAATTACCAACTCCACAGGTCGTTCAATTTCGTTTCATTTTTATACCCACAGCGAGTACTGGTGAATCAGTTTGAAAGTGAAGCGCAAACGAATCGAAAGCAACAAGTTGCTGTTGTCGCAATAGCCCCAACATCATCGCCGTCGCTTTCGTTGTTGTTTGGTTGGTAAACTAACAGTTGGTAGCTGGTGTTGTTGTTTGTTGGTTGTGTGCTTGTCAACGTAACGTTCGTGCAAACAAAAACGTAATACCATTGTGTGCTGGTTAAGTCCGTTAAAGTCTTTCTACATTTTTTTTTTGTTTCTTTGTTTTTTTTTGCCTCTTGCTCTGCAAATGCAGGTTAAAGTGTACACATACATACATAAATGCACTTTTGTCGGACACAAAGTGCGGCTTTTGCAAAATGCTGTGTCGTGGATTGTGCATTTTTTTATGGCATTTTTACAATGTCAAGAAATAGTGCAGTTGCAGTGTATATTTCCAATCTATTTTATAATTACAAATGAAACGTGACGTATGGCTGTGTGATGACGTTACGTACGATTAAACACAATTGTTGATGAATCACAAAGGAAAATGTGACCGCGAACTTGTGTTGCTAACAAAGCAAATGCAGTGCATTTTAGTGGAATAAAATTTAGAATAAAATAAAAAAAAAAAAATTAAGCGAAGTTAAATAAAAAAACCGAATACAAAATAAACACAAACTAAATTAAATCTAAAGAAACATAAGACCGTACACTCAAAAAAAGGTTGTCATCAGCACGATGCTATTTAGCCGTCAACGTGGAACTTTCGAAAAACCTATTTTTCCTCATTAATCATCTTATCTAAATGACTGTTTCCGTTGTCACATTGAAACCAAAAAAAAACCAAGAAAATTACACAGATATCGATTATATTAATACCGAAACATGATACTGTTTAAAGTTTCATTTTAATACAACTTGTATTAAACCAATAGTGATTTTTTTTTTTGAGTGTACCACGTTACAAGCAAACAAAGAAAAGTTAACCGTACACCCAGTACACAAGGCAATTTCGAAATTTTTTCCGAACCTTGGGGTTGCCTTTTTAAATTTAACTCATAATTCGACATTTACAATCGCTTCTTGATTCTTATTCCCCGAAATACCGCCCTAATGTCAGTAAATTAACGCTTGCCAAAAGTTATTAAATTTATACGAGTAGAACTATTAAAAAAAAAATTATTGCCGAATGTAGGAGTCACACATTCTGTTCAATAGCCATACTCTTATGCTGCACAGTGAAATTTGTAAATGCCAACGCTTAAAAATCCCTAATAGAATTTTTTGTAATTAATTTTATTATTAAAATAAAAAAAATACAGTAATTACATATTTTATCATTTTTGCATTTTTCTTCACCTGCGTATAGATGCACCCTAAACAAAAAAATTGAATTTTTCACTGTGTTCTTAAAAAGTGTCTTAAAACTAGAATACAACAAAAAGATATTTTTTAACAAAAGTCTTAATATTCTCCTCTCATTTTAGCAACGTTTGTGCAAAAAACTAACTAAAATTAAACGAACTAAGTATTCAACTAACGACGGAAATTTGTGTTCAAACTGTTTCCGAAAAAAAAAAAATAAATTTCAAAAGTATTATTACTGCGACTGCATTTCAAATACGTTTAAGCATACCAAAGACAATTAACGCCGAATTCTTGTCAAAAATTTAAGCAAAATAATACCACAAAAAAAAACTTAAATAGATATACAACACATGAAATATGCCTTCACCTACAAAATCGTTAAATCAACGTGATCGTATACGCGATCCGCGCGAAGATATTCTACTCGAAACAAATTTCGAAGATGATGGCATACTGACGCGTGCCTACAACAACAATCCATACAATAATGGCACAGCAATACATAATCGACGACGCAGTACCTACCGTTCAGATCACTCCTTGGACCGTTACACGGAACGTGGTGGCGAAGAAGGTAAATGCAAAACAAAGGCATTTCGTATACACACTCGTACTTAAAAAAAAAAAAAACACTAACTAGATTTTGATGCAACGTATTGAAGTAACGCACACTACATACTGCTTAAGGCTCAAATGCATTTTGTTAAATGTATATTTTTTCTTTTTTTTTTCTTAATTGTGTAATACAAAAAGCGCGAAGTTACTTTGTAATCTGGCACCTTAGTATTAAATGCAAAATAATATGTGCTAATATTTTACGCTTTGCAACGTCACATTTCTGCTTTTATGATTTTTTATTGTTGTTGTTATGCTTGCGACCTTCTGTTGACCCACTTGATCGCTGCTTGTCTGATGGTGATCAAAGTTTACGCTGTCGATGTGAGTATTTAATGGTGAACTACTTTTCTTTTTGTGTTACAATTTAACGCTTGTCACTGCAGTTAATAGGTTAATTAGGCTTTTGTCCTATAAAGGAGGGAGGCTAGTTAAAAAAAAAATACATTAATAAATACACATATGTATATATTGTACATTAGGCATATGACTTTTTTCTAAAATTAAATACATACACTCACGGCAAAAAATATTGGCACAGAGAATTTTTCACAATATATGCAAGAATTTTTATAGAGGAGAAAAACCAACAAAAATAAGGTTTTTGTAAAAATTTGGAAAAATTAAGCATTTCCAATCTGACAAAATGAAAAAGTAAAAATTTAAGAGCGGTTTTTCTATATTTGCATAGTAATTAAGTAAAAAAATTACAACAATTGGTAGTACAGATTTAAAGTCTAAGCAAATATATGCGCTTGCGTGACGTTACAAAATACAGAAGTGGGTTTTGACCTGAGTTACACAATTGCAAAACTCTGTGAATTGGGTAAAACTACTTGTATAAATATTTGTATAGTAAATTTTTTTAAATATCTATATAAGGTTAATTTTCCATAGAAATCAATTTTTATTTGTAGTCATAAGTTGATATGGAATTTTCCATATATCGATTGCTGAGTGGGAGATCGTCCAGCCAGTTCCAAAAAGCCCTATCTCAGAAAACTTTTCAAGAACGACCTACATATTTCAGAATTTGATTGAAAAACGCCCAATTTCAGAATTTTGTTGAAAAACACCCTATCTCAGAATTCGGTTCAAAAACGCCCTATCTCAAACGAAAATACATCGGAAAAAAGCTGAGGTAGGGCGTTTTTGAATCGGCAGCTGAGATAGGACGTTCTCCAACCAAATTCTGAGATAGGGCGCTTGTCGGTGATATTCTGAAGTAGGACGTTCTTTAAAAGTTTTCTGAGATAGAGCGCTGTTGAAAAACTTTCTGAGATAGGACGTTTTCGAACTGGCTGTCAAGGTAGGTCGATCTTTCACTCAGCCATCGATATGTACACATTTTTTTTCTCGGAGTTCCCTCCGTAAACTTTTTTTTACAAAACTTTTACAAAATTGTAATTTTTGTTGGTTTTTCATCACTGCTCAAAAGTAGAAGAAGTTTTAGAAAAGAGTCATGTGCCTAATGTATGTACATTCATTTTTACAAACATATGTATTCACAAAGCATATACTACTGTTTTAAGCATTATTTTTATTAGTTCCCCAAGCGTAACATAAAAACCATAGCTGTGAACTTTCCAAAGTTCTAGTTTTCTTCATTTATTTTTTCTGCTTACATTTTGCATTGCGATTTTCCACCTTATTGCTCTCGTTTTATGTGCCCATATTGTCTATTTTCCTTTTAATTTCTTTGTTTACTCCATTCCCTCTCAATAGTCATCTACCAACTCAAAACTCATTTACGTTAGACCTAAATACTCATCGTCCCATATCTTATCATCGCATTAGTTATCGCTTGCTACACAATCTCAAACGAACTCAGTATATTTCGTCATCTGTGTTTACTCCCCAAAAGTTAAATTATTATTTGTAGCTACAAGTGTTCCCAGTAGGAAAACGGCCAAAGCGTTATCTTCATCAAACAGAAAGCGATTAATTTTTCCTACAGAACATAAACATACACGCAAAAGTAAGCGGAAAGGTAATATGTACGATTAGCGTGTGATGAGTTCGCCGCCAAAGGACTTAATGAATGAGAAGTATGGCTTTATATTTTTTGAATTTTGTGAATATAAATTTGTATGCCACTGAAAAAATACTCTTTAAATTGCTCATCAAAATAGTTTTCAACGGCCGCCTTCATCCCACTGTTGTCCGAAAATAATCGCCCCCGTAGCTTCTCTTTTAAATTGGTTGTTGTTGGTATGGTTTTGTTGTTTGTCCATGCGGTAGCTATTAATGAACCAAAGAAGAAAGGTGGTTTAAGAAAAATAGTGCCCTTACATTCAGTGATACCGCTCAGACCGCTTCCCACCCAGCACTTAGGTCAATCGATGCAAATCCGCGAGCCAGTCATCAAGTTACGAAGGCATCTAATTTAAATCAACGAGAGTTCTTTAGGGTTGCTTGTGAAGTGCGTATCAAGATACCTTAACCTTGTAAAAATTGGATAACCAGAAAGAAAGTGTTGATTCGACCCAATTGTCCTCTAGGCAACTGCAGCAGTAAGAATCAGATAGGATTTTTAATTTAATAACCTGCTTAATTTAATCCCTGTTGCGTGAAAACGTAACAAAAAGGGTTATTGACGATGTCGTCTGTTGGGAACTCTCTTTACTATTTTAGTGTGTTTCAGGCACAAGTTATGGAAAATTGTATGTTGTTAATTCCCGAGATAACTCCATATTAACGAGTTAATCCGGATCAAAGATGCCGTCTGTCTATGATTTTACTTCAATTTATCTCTGCTCTTTTCCGGTCGCAATATTACGACAGACAAAAAAAATTTGATTTGTGTCTTACTGCTTCTTCTGTATACGGTTTATTCCTTAATCAGGCTCAATGAAGTTAGGGCTCTTACTGGGTTCGCACAGCTAATCGAAGGATAATCAGTTGGAGTAATCACAATCGCGGTTGACACGATCATAAGTATAAGCTATGAAGTTGAATTATTTTATACTTTTATGTATGCTATCTCCTCTGTTCTCATTGGGGTTTGTTCCTAAATACTATAAAGATTGTAAGTTTCTCGTACAATTGGCTTCAGCGTGCTTTGTATTAGTTGTATGCTCGAACGGCTCAAATATTCTTCTTGTACTCGTATGTTTGTATTTGAATGTACATTGAGTTGCTTACTCAATGTTCCCTAGCTTGCTAAAATGAATCAAACTACTTAGGGGATAGATGCATTGGACGTTCAAGCTATTCGACTTGGGCAACAGCACAACTGCTTCAATAGAGCCGCGTATATGAGCACGCAGTAATATACATAATTTATTTTGCTGTAATAATTATTTCATTTGCACTGTGAGAAAAAATGATTCAATAGATTTCATTCGATGACTCATTGAATGTACGTATTATTAAGATAAGTGTATGTTAATTTCTATGTAAATATTAGTTAACGAAAGTAGACAGGCAAATTTTTTTGCACATTAAATAAAAAGTAGATACAATTTTTTTCTCTTGTGATTAATCGTAAAAATGTTACTAATCAGTATTGGACACTAACTATGTTGATACTGAATGACTTTGGAAACAAAAATATTTACAACTACGGAATGTATGGCTGGCAGCAGATGTGCTCAATATGTACTGAGTTTTTATTTTTTATGGATGTATAGGTAGATAGATTTCATGGAGGATGTGCACTGCGACCTTGGGTCTATTGTGGCCTCAAACCTCATCACAGAACCTCGTTCAGGCCTAGGGCACTAATGAAACCAAGTGAACGAACGTACAACCCTTAAGGTGTGTTAGCATTTTACTCGCAACCGCATCGCACCCTAAAAGTAGATGTAATGGGATTTCTACTGTCATATCGCAGTAACGTTAGAACTCGCCGGCACTAAATAGTCCTCAGGGTGTTCGTATGGGTCCACAGCCTGCAAATTTAAATTATTTCATCAGTTTATTGAAATACACGTGTATCACAATGTCAGACGAAAGAGATTTAGTAAGATTTTAGTTTGAGAATACTTTTGAAAAGGAATTCAAGAAATGACAAATTAAAGACCTTATCCTGTAGATGTGTAATAAAGGTTTAATTTTTTTAATTAAGAACTTTTTTCATCGGTATAGGGTGATTTGAAATTTGATGAAATTATGCGACATTGCTCTTCACTGGCATTCGGTTCTGTTATAACTCTGAATAACATTTGGAATATTTTTTAAGTTTTTCAAATTCAATTTTGGCCGACCGAAAAGTTTTGTCTAAAATTGTTTCGTTCTAGGTCGCTTTGCTGCCTAGTTCGGTCTTTAATCTTTTCTCTAAGGTTGTTATCATAATCATGTCGTCTCTGTTGAGCTGGTTCTGATTTCCTTACCCAGTCTACTCAATATGGATATTAAAATGTTCAAGTTTTCGACACATATTGAAGCAAAAACTGGCCTTATTAATTCCTTCGAAATTTCTTCACTTCTATTCGTCGCTGTGTAGTTATGACCATTATTGCGCTATCTACGCCTGTAGTCATCACTTTGCCAGTTATTTTAATGCCACTCAGTTCTAAATGCCAAACTTTATTAGCAGACAAAAGCAGCAATGGAAGGAAGTCAATGAAATCACCCACAATTAGTCTTCACAATTGCCGACATTAGTTGACTTATAATTGCTTAACTTGGTCCATTGTTGAACTTAAGGGTCATTTATGTGCTCATGAGATTGAATTACATTGAAAACAAATAGATAAGCGCAAACAGAGCCATAAATACTTATGTACATACTTAGTATAAATATACTATACATACATACATACAATTTATGTTTTTCAAGTAGTTTTCTGTATCCACTTATGCAAGAGTGCAAAGTTGAAGATTCCACTTAAGCATTTGAGTAAGTACAGTCAAAAGTAAGAGAGTTGTATAAATCTGCATATTAAAGTAGCTTAAACTGCAATCATTCACGCTTTTGCGAATATACATAAATGTTTATACATACATACATACATA